AACCCATCCAATTAGGGTAGATTAAAAACCCTGCCATTTACACATAGTGATCTTGGTTTGTGTGAAAGTTAGTTAGGATGGGGAGCGTTTGTTTCTTTCCCCTCTTTGCATGATTTTTGTGTTGAGGACATTGAGTGAACTTGGTCTGTTTGCTCAAGGGCTCAAGTTAATGTATGGACCCATAAAACAGATTAATTCAGTTTAAGCCTGTTATAGGACAGAACCCAATGCTGAAGTCTACACACTCATATGGCTAAGTTTGGTTTTCATAGTATATAACTTCAAACCAAGGAGAGAGAGAAAACAGTTTATTTAGTAGTAGCACACCTTCATTTGAAACTATGGTTTGTTTTTGGTTTAAACAACTCCATTTTAAATATGATTGGTTGTCATAACTGAATCCAGAGCCTTGCCTTAATGATTTGTGATTCTACTCCATTTGTATCTGCTACACACACACACACACACAGAGAGAGAGAGAGAGAGAGAGAGAGAGAGAGAGAATGGAGAACCAAGCCAGAAACAAGCTGCCATAGATTCGATCAACTCCAAGGATAGTTCAATAAACCATGCTTTTAAAAAATCTTTCCCGTCCCAGCTAAGAGCAGAATTTACAAGAAATTTCTCACCTGCTTTCATAACATTTCCTTTCCTTTCCAAAATGTGACTTTCAGCTTTTTCAAAGCAAGCTCCAAAAAAATGGTGGATTATGCTCGAGAGGAGAAAGAAAGAAAAAAAACATCTTAAGCACAATTGCTTTAGAAAATTGCTGAGGTCGCACATCCAGATTAGGGATGATTTTTAGTGCGGTGTTCAGTTTTGCGAAGCTTCTTATGGATGCCGATGAAAGAAGGCTGCGTTACAATCAGAGAATTTGAAGATGGATCTAAAGCGATGGCTAATTCAATCAAGGGCTCTTCAGGTGAACTTTAATTGCCATTAGACCCAGTCTGCATAGCTAATTTGGCAAGCTTTAGGTTCCTCCTGCTGGTTTCATGTCTAATGTGCCCAACTGCCCCATTTCTAAAATAAATCCTTTATGCCTGGATAATTGGCAATTCCTGAACTTCCCTGGGTGCAGAAGGTTTCCGAGTTGAACCATTCTCCAATGGCTAGGGATTTTTTTTTAAACCAGTGATTGAAGAGAAGGCTCTCTGTGAAATATATGTGATGTCCTTCAAGAGAAACCTGGTTGACAAAATGTTTTTATAGGACCTGAATGAAATGAAACCAGGTTGGCAATAATTGAATTCTTTTCTTTCTTAGGTTCCCATTCTAACCCACTGCTTTGGGGACAACCCTCCTATGTCCTAAACGGGATAGGCTCTTCTGCTTGAGGAGGGGGTTGGATTTGTTCTGGCCCGCCAGCGGCCAGCAGAGCTGGCAGCAGATTTGGATAGTGAGGAGGTTGGGGGGAGAAACATTGGGCCAGTCCTGGAGTCTGGGGAAGGGCTCTGCATCGGAGGCAGAGATGGGGCCAGGGAGTCCGACAGTTATCAGCTGCTTTCAGACTCGGACATCAGTGAGGCAGAAGAACAGCTGGAGTCTGTTCCCAGAGTGCACATGTGCAGAGCTGTCAGAAGAAGGGAACAGCTAAGGAACAAGGGTCAACTTGGGAGGAAAGCCACAGGTGGATGGTGAATGGCCCCTCCCATAGGGAATAAAAGAGGAGCGAAAGGGGAGTGGGGTTTTGCAGGAAACAATGAGTTCGTTTGGGTGAAGATCTGTTCCTGCATTCTTGCCAAGTATTGTCTGCTACAGTGTGGCGTCTGAAAGATATCGGCCTGGCAACTCTCGAAGTCTGATAAGGTCTATAATAGTGAAATCTCTTGAAAGACTGTTGGCCGGGATTTTGCTGGAGAGGAATTCACTGTAAACTAAATAAAAGGGGTTTATCGGGACGAGGAGTCAGTTTCATGCTGTTGGGGAAGCTTAGGTCAGAACAGGATTAGGAGACGTCCAAGGTTCCTTCCAACTCTGTCATTCTGTTATCTCTCTGCCTCTTTGAAGTCTTTTAGGAGGTTGGAAACAGCCTACATCCTTTGCTTCCCATGGACATACTGTCAGGGCTCCAAAAAAATACACCCATAGCAAACAGAACTGAGGTGAGCAGGTTCTTCAAAGCACAAGTTTATTGGATATATCATATTGGCACAGACCAGTGAAAACTGACTCTAAAGGTTCCCGTGGTTATCATCTAATTAAAAGGAAAGATTACCTCCCCCCTTTCCCAGACAATTAGTCACATGGTCCAATCAAGGTGTTGTCTGGTTGCTTGGAACCTTCACTCTTCCTCTTTTCAGCTACCTGTGGGAATAGCAATAGCACTTAGACTTATATATCACTTCACAGTGCTTTTATAGCCCTCTTTAAGCCGTTTATAGAGTCAGCCTCTTGCCCCCAACAGTCTGAGTCCTTATTTTAAAGCCCTCAGAAGGATGGAAGGCTGAGTCAACCTTGAACTGGTGGGACTTGAACTGCCAACTGCTGGCAATCAGCAGAAGTAGCCTGCAGTACTGTACTCTAACCACTGCGCCACCACGGATCTTGTCCTTGGTTCTCAGGGGAAACTATTTTGTTTTGGCTACCAAACCCCAGCTATCTCTATTCCCCTGTCCTGATCCCTCAACACCACTGTGGCACACACTGAAGCCTCCAAGATGGCCTCATTCAGGCCAGCTTCAGAGTTGACACATACAACTAGAGCCACGGTGGCACAGTGATTAGAATGCAGTACTGTAGGCAACTTCAGCTGACTGCTGGCTGCCAGCAGTTCGGCAGTTCAATTCACACTGGCTCAAGGTTGATTCAGTCTTCCATCCTTCTGAGATCAGTAAAACAAGGGCCCAGTTTGTTGGGAGCAAGTGTTGCGGTTCGACGGCAACAGGTGTGGACGGCTGAGGTCTCGGAGAGCGAGGACTCAGATGAGGGGCCTGCGTGTGATGCCAGGACTATCGGAGAGTAGAATGCTGCCTTCAGAGATTGTGGAGGCTGGCAGCAGTGATGAAGAAGTCCCCGAGGAGCCTGTGCCAAGTGCATGTGCGCGCAGGGCTGCTCGAAGGAGAGAGCAGCTGCGGCAGCACACAGGCGACTCGGGAGTAAGGCTGCAAGGTAATGGCCCCTCCCTTAAGAGATAAAAGCCAGCTGAGAAACCCGAGTTCTTTGCAGGAAGCAAAGAACTTTTTGCACTCAAGTCTTATGGACATTCGGATTATCTTAGATTGTGTTTGTAGACTTTTTGTGTTTGAAATATTTCTTGGCAACTTTATATAGTGTTCTTGGCAGCCTTGCACCACCTTGGCAAGGCTCGTTCTTATCAGAGACAATTAGTTTCAAACAGCCTTTTAACCCAGAAGGATTGGAATTCATAAAGAATCATTAAAAGGTTTTGCTGTTACCTCTGTTTCGTGTTTGTTTCCTTGGAACAAGGTTTGGGTCAGAACAGCAATACGCTGACTCTATAATCCACTTAGGGAGGGCTATACAGCACAGTGAAGCGGCATATAAGTCTAAATGCTATTGCTATCTCCTGGTGTTCACAAGCTTTTCCATTAGCTCATTAGCTCTGCACTGCAATGGTTGATCATTCTCCTCTTTTGTTTTTTTTTTCCTCTTGGGTGATTGGAAAATGAATAAATTTTTGGATCCTGCTCTCAACACCTTTGCAGGGTACCTGGTACTCTTCCATCCCTTCCTGTCTCCCCCCCCCCCTGAAGAGAAGTACCTAATGGTGAAAAGAAAAAAGGGGAAAAAATACGATCATTATGTTGAAGTGTTGAGAGAGGAGGTCAGTGAATTTGACAAGAGGAAAGAAACTCATTTCCCCTGGGATCATTAGCCGTATTTTAGAGAACAGGCTCTGTAATTGCTATGGTAATTGGGCCCTGGAATTGCCTGTGAGAGCGTGTCGGTTATTTTTAATGTTAATTTCTGTGCAAGGGCGAGAGACGGAGTGTTACTTTCATGAGGTGTGCCGTTGCAGGAAATGTTGAAAAGGGCCTTGATGAATCCGATCAAAAGCTCACCTGGTCTATCAAACTGTCACAATCCCAGCCAGGGGTTGCACATTCCCAGTTACCCCGAGGGCTATTTTCTCACGAATGGATTGATCCTTTTGACTTCTTCCTCGCAATCCTCTCAGATGGGAAGGATCATCAGCCAATATCTGGAGGGACAGTGACCTCTTCTTTCAAAAGAGGCCACGTCTGAGATGGCTAGGATGGAGAGGAATGGCCGTGCGTGGTCGAGATGACTCATGGAAGGAGGAAGCTAAGATGTTCCTCACCGGGAGACATTCAGAATCAGAATGGAGCTGGAAGGGACCTTGGAGGTCTTCTAGTCCAGCCCCTTGCTCAAGGAGGAGAACCTATACCATCCCAGACAAGTGGCTGTCCAGTCTCTTCTTAAAAGCCTCCAGTGATGGAGCTGCCACGATTTCTGAAGGCAACTTCTGTTCCACTGGTTAATTGTCCTCACTGTTAGGGAGTTTCTCCTTAATTCCAGGTTGCTTCTCTCCTTGATTAGTTTTCAACCATTGTTTCTTCTCCTACCTTGGGGGTGCTTTCGAGAACAGGCTGACCCCCTTTTCTTTGGGGTAACGCCCTGAAACCGTTCTTCATATGTTTTAGTCTCCAGCTCCTTCATCATCTTAGTTGCTCTTCTTTGCACTTCTTCCAAAGTCTCAACATCTTTGTTTGTAGTGTGACCAAAACTGGATGCACTATTCCAGGAGTAGCCTTAACAAGGCTTTATAAAGCGGTACTAATACATCACGTGATTTTGATTCTGTGCCTTTGTTCATATGCATTTTATTTATTTTAATTATTCACTTTATGGATTAGCCCTTGGGCCATATCAAAGTTCAGAGTCCCAGACAGAAATGATTCTGATAAAATACGATTTGAAATGGACTTGGAATAAAATACGATTCAAAATGAAACGTTTTATTATTCCTATTTTTATGCCTGTTACATTCCTAGACTTCTTTTTATTCTCCGCAGGTGCAAACAGATGTCCTATCCCGAAGACCTCCCTCAAGTCTCGGTGGTCTTCATTTTTGTAAATGAAGCCCTGTCTGTCATCCTACGCTCAGTTCACAGCGTTGTGAATCACACGCCATCCCACTTGCTCAAGGAGGTCATTCTGGTGGACGACAACAGCGACAACGGTAACTGTTCACAAGTGTTCCCAATGCCAGCTTGCTGGTTTGTGCTCCAGTTGCATGGTCCATCCTGAGAGAAGGCCATTTCGGGTGGGATGGGGAAAGAGAGAAAGACTGTTTTGACCTACAACAGCACGAAGGCGACTCCTTGTCCCGATAAACCCTTTTTATTTAGTTTACAGTGAATTCCACTCCAGCAAAGTCCCGGCTAACAGTCTTTCAAGAGATTTCCCAATTACAAACCTTTATCAGGTTTGGAGAGTTGCCAGGCTGATATCTTTCAGATGCCACACTGTAGCAGACAATACTTGGCAAGAATGCAGGAACAGGTCTTCACCCAAATGAACTAATTGTCTCCTGCAAAACCCCACTCCCCTTTTGCTCCTCTTTTATTCCCTATGGGAGGGGCCATTCACCGTCCACCTATGGCTTTACTCCCAAGTCGACCCTTGTTCCATAGCTGTTCCCTTCTTCTGGCAGCTCTGTGCACGCACACCCTGGGAATAGGCTCCAGCTGTTCTTCTGCCTCACTGATGCCCGACTCCGAAGGCAGCTGATGACTGCCAGCCTGCCCTGGCCCCATCTCTGCCTCCGACACAGAGCACATGTCAGAGCCTTCCCCAGACTCCAGGACTAGCCCATGTTCCTCCCCAACCTCCTCACTATCCGAATCTGCTACCAACTCAGCTGGCAGCAGGGGTGGGATTCTACAGGTTCTCACCTATTTGCTAGAACCAGTTGTTAACATCCTAAGCAGTTCAGAGAACCGGTTGTTAGAAGAAATTACTGGCCTAATCCTGTAAGGAAGGCAGGAAGGAAACATTCTGGTGTTGCTTACAGAAACTGCCTCTCCGTTAACCCTTATTACATTCTTGGCAGGACTAGACTTTCTGTCTCAGGAACTTCTCTGGAGTTTTATTTTCCCCTCGTTTGCTGGTACTTTGCTTGTGTGGCGTGACCATTCAAAGTTACAATGGCACTGAAAAAAGTGACTTATGACCGTTTTTCACACTTACGACTGTTGCAGCATCCCCACAGTCATGAGAGGCCAGGCAAGGAGATGCGTGCCTCGATGTGAGTGATGTTGAGTTGGCCACGCTCAGCCAATAACATGGCCACCAAGCCACGTCCACCCAGTCACATGACCACCAAGCCACGCCCACCAACTAAGCCACACCCACAGAACCGGTTGTTAAAAATTTTGAATCCCACCCCTGGCTGGCAGGCCACAACAATGGCTGAACTGGATGTTCTTGCTGATTTCTTTACATAGGTAAAGACTTAACAGCCACAATCGAGCCCAAAATTTCTGTTACTAAGTGAGACATTTGTTAAGTGAGCTTTTATCCCATTTCACAACCTTTCTTGCCACCGTTATAAAGTGAATCACTGCAGTTGTTAAGTTAGCCACATGGCTGTTAAGTAAATCTGGTTTCCCCATTGACTTCGCTTGTCAGAGGTTTGCAAAAGGGGACCACGTGACACCCCCCCCCAAGACAATGCAACCGTCACAAGTACATGCCCGTTGCCAAGCATTCGAATTTGGATCACGTGACTATGGGGATGCTGCAAAATTTAAAGAACGGTCCTAAGTCGCTTTTTTCAGTGCTGTGGTATCTTCAAATGGTCACTAAACGGACTGTTTTAAGTCGTGTACCCCCTCTACCTCAAGACTACGTAGAAACAACACTGGTTGCCAGATGAATAACATTGTCCGTTTTCCTATCTACAGTTGAGCTGAAATTTAATTTGGATCAATACGTCCACAAAAGATACCCAGGTTTGGTGAAAATAGTCCGCAATAATAAACGAGAAGGGTTGATCCGAGCAAGAATCCAAGGATGGAAAGCTTCGACGTCTCCAGTTGTTGGTTTTTTTGATGCTCACGTTGAATTCAACACTGGCTGGTAAGATGTTGTGCTAGTTGGCAAGCTTTCTGAAATTTCCACCTGATGTAAGCTGACAGGGGAAAAGAACGAGAAAAAGCAATGAACCGTACCTTACAGGTCCCCAGAACCCATCTCTTTGCCACACGTATTTCTCTCTTTCACAAAATAATATATCCTTGAGTTGTTTCTTTTACTTAACTTTGTTATCTAACTTCTAACGTTTAAGCTATGGCGTTGCAATATTTATAGGTTATTCCTGGCTTACCGCTTTTTATATTTTGCAATTTTTATGCTAGTTATTTTATTCTGTTTCATCGTATAAACATATTTTATTCCTCCCATTTCTCTGGTTGAAAAAAAAAAGGGGACACCCCAAAAGCTTATTTAAGAGTTGTTAGGGGGGAAAAAAAATACCATTCATGTAACTTCAGAAGTAGGTTTTGAGACTGAACTTTAAGGAGCGGAAATATTTTTCCATAAGAAATTCATTAGACTCTTTGATAAACAAAACAAACCAACAGAGATTTTCTCTAATGGACAATCCATAAAAGACCTTGAGATGACAATTTTAGAACAGCGTTGTTTGAAAGGATCCCTTCAAGCTCAGCTAACGTGCTCTATCATGATAATTTCATGCCAGTTAAAGAGAATCTTGTTCAAACTTCCCATCCCATCAGATGGGTTGCCTGCTAGGAAAGGTTGTTTGCAACTGGCCATATCCATCATACGAATACCTAGACTTCCTTCACGAGAGCATCAATTGGGTCCCCTCGATATAGGTAGTCCTGAACTTATGGCCACAAGTGAGCCCAAAATGTATGTCGTTCAGTGAGAAATTTGTTAAGTGAGTTTTGTCCACTGGTGAGATTCATTTTTTTTTTTACTACCAGTTCTGTGGGCGTGGCTTGGTGGGTGTGGCAGGGGAAAGATACTGCAAAATCCCCTTCCCTCCCCACCCCTCTAACCTGCTTTCCAGCTCCATTCTCCTGTGCAGGGCAACCAAAGAAGACGCAGCCGATCAGCTGGGACTCAATGGGAGGCAGGGAATAGATGGGGGCGGGGCCAGTTAGAGGTGGTATTTGCCGGTTCTCCAAACTACTCAAAATTTCCTCTACTGGTTCTCCGGAACCAATCAGAACCATCTGAACACCATCTCTGCTTCCTTCCCTTTGTTCCTCTCTTCCTTGTAGTGGTAGGATTCAATTTTTTTTACTACCAGCCCTATTCTCATTTCATTCCCTATTCTATTCTATTCTATTCTATTCTATTCTATTCTATTCTATTCTATTCTATTCTATTCTATTCTATTCTATTCTGACCATGGGGATGCTGCAACGGTTGTAAGCTTGAAAATTTGTCATTGTTTTCAGGGCCGTTGTAATTTCGAACAGTCACTAAACAAACCTTTGTAAGTTGAGGACTACAGAGCAGAGATTCCTCTTCTCCATCATGTGAACGAGATGCCTTTTTTTTTTATTGGAAACCGCATAAACAGAAGGGGAATATTTATGGTGTTGCTATGGAGCTATGTAAAGCATGCAAAGAGAAGGACACAGTTTCTGGCCTTTAAGGGCTATGATTATAATAAGAGACAGAAAGGGAATGGCGCAGCGATATCCGGGATGACAGCTCTGCTGGGCATCTAAGATTTATCTTCCGAAAGAAGATCGAGTCTTTTTTTTTTAATCTTTATTGCCTCAAAAGGCAACATCTGCATGGCCATTCACTGCGGGAAGGGCTTGATAGTGAAATGAAAATTGAGCTGAACTTGACAGAGGGTTTGGGCTAATGCTAAAGCTAGTTTCCCTTTGCAGTCAGAAACATTTCAAAGAAGGCATTCAGAAATATATCCATCCAAGAGGAACAACCTCCTGTTCCCCAACTGTTACGAGCAATTGATAGAGCATGGATCAGACAGGTTCCAGCCTGAATGTGTTCCCAAGCCCAGCTTTCTATTCCCATCTCCAAATCTTCCCAAATCATGCTGCTGAAATGGAATGAATGAATGAATGAATGAATGAATGAAGGAAGGAAGGAAGGAAGGAAGGAAGGGAAGGAAGGAAGGAAGGAAGGAGAAGAGATTGGGTGGGATGGGATGAGATGGGATGAGGGAGGGAGAAGAAAGGAAGGGGAAAGAGATGGGAGGGGGGAGGAAGAAGGAAGGTAGGAAAGAAGGAAGGAAGGAAGGGAAGGAAGGAAGGAGAAGAGATGGGATGAGGGAGGGAGGGAGGAAGGGAGGAAGGAGAAAGATGGGAGGGATGGGGAAGAAGGAAGGGAGGAAAAAAGGAAGGAAGGGAAGGAAGTAAAAAAGGGGAAGAGGAAGGAAAGAAGGGAGGGAGGGACTTCCTCCCCAAAAAATGTTGACATAAATTCAGGGAAATCCGTGGGAAAAGCATTCCCCTCCCATCCCTGGAAGAGAAGGAGAAGGAGAAGTGGAGCAGGAGGTGGTTTTCAATGAGAAAAAAATTGTCCATGTCCTTGTTTAATTAGATAATCGGCTGAAAGTTGTGTAACCGCCCAGCTTCCATGAAGACCACAGAGTTTGGAGGTGAAAGCACCCCATTCCTGCAACCGTATCTTTGGTGCTTCTGTTCCATGCAAATCAGCTGGATTGGGCAGGGTAGATGTCCATCACGGTGGATGCCTGCCCACTGACCTCCTTTTCTGCAACAGACTCTGAACTGTATTTCTGCAATAATGATGTAAAGCCTTTGTCTTCTTCTTATGGCAACTTTGACAACTGCCTGTGGTTTTTGCCTTCAGGGAGCTGTCACTTGGTAATTAAGGAGCCCAAGGTGACTTCTCTCCTCACTGCACTGCAAAGGTCTCCTTTTCCACCCTCTCCATCAATCGCTTTAGGATTCAGGGATGTAATAAGTCTAGGCTAAAATGGGAATCAGGTGTGATTGTGTGTTTGGGTCTGTCCCTGTATGCATTGCACGGAGCACAGATGAAGACACGTTCATTGTTGGTAGAACCAGGAGAAGAGGGAATGAAATGAGAATAGAACAGAATAGAATAGAATAGATAATAGAACAGAATAGAATAGAACAGACAATAGAATAGATTAGAATAGAATAGAGAATAGAATAGAATAGAATAGAATAGAATAGAATAGAATAGAATAGAATAGAGAATAGAGTAGAGTAGAGTAGAGTAGAGTAGAGTAGAGTAGAGTAGAGTAGAGTAGAGTAGAATAGAATAGAATTCTTTATTGGCCAAGTATGACTGGACACAAGGAATTTGACTTCGGTGCATAAGCTCTCAGTATACATAAAAGATATAAGTGATAAATCATGACCATAGTCATCATACATACTAAATAAGCAATCAAAATCTTACTAGGAAACTAAATAAAACAATATAAATCGTAAAGATACAAACAACAAGGTTATAGTCATAAGTAGAAAAGGAGATAGCTAATAGGAAGGATGAGAAGAATAATCCTAATCCAGAAGATCTCCATATAATTCCTGTCTGGTCTAAATTGTAGAAAGTGGACTGGTGGAGCACATCCAAAGAAGACTGCACTGCCTCTCATTCTTAAACTCCAGAGATGTATAACTTCTCATGGCTTGAGGACTTCGTTTCCAAAGCAGAGTCTGTCTGAGTGGGCTTCTGGAGAGTTAAGGGATGAAACAGGAGCTTCAGAAATTTGGAAAGTCATTAAAAGAAAAAGTCACTGAATGAGGACTGTCTACAATCCCATTTTAAACACCTTCCTCTATGGCTGTGCTTGTCTTCTGGAACCACATTCCCCCAGGGATCCATCTGCCTCCCTCCCCTGAAAATGTTCAACAAGTCATTAAAATCTTGGCTGTTTTAATTTAGTACATTGTTTAATACCTTCAATCTTTTCTTCGTGGCTTGAATGTATCGACCATGTGCTTTCAAGTTAATGTTCAATATATAAATGTGAGTTTAGAGTGGAAAATAACTACAAAATGAGGAGATATCTCATGAGCTTCTTGGAACAAATTAATGTTATTTCAGTTTGGTTATCTCTCCCTGTTGCACAACCTATAGCTGATTCTCCCACTATACATAATAGATTTCTTTCATAAATACCTAACAATAAAATGGAGATATCAAAAAAGCTTGGCTGTTTTCCCAGACCTTTAGCAGGCTGATAGGTGAGTCCCTGTAGGGTGTTTTGATTGTTCTATAGACTTTGCCTTCTGGAGACCTATGATTCATCTCTTAATTTATTTATTTTTTTAAAAATAAAATAAAGCCACTCTAAGCCACGAAGAGTCATATAGAGCTGGGTATCCTTAAAGCTCACTAACTATTGTCCAAATGAATAAATAACCCATCTCGATTGTTTTATAGGGTGGAACCAGCCCTGACCCGGATTAAAGAGGACCGCAAACGGATTGTCCTACCTGCTATAGACAACATCAAGTACAATACTTTTGAAGTGCAACAGTATGCCAATGCTGCCCACGGCTACAATTGGGGTCTTTGGTGCATGTACATCATCCCACCACAGGACTGGCTGGACAGAGGAGATGAGTCTGCACCTATCAGGTGATTTCCTACAAAAAGGATAGTTTGATGGCCGTTTCTGGCTGATTCTCAAAACAGGTGCTATGAGAGATTATGGTGGTGGGTCATGAAATTGAAGTGGCCCTCAGGTTCATCCATATTTCTGAGCTTGATTATTGGTTGGCCTTAAACCAAGTGGCCCTGTTGGGTTCAGCCATCATTCTGAGCTTGACTA